ATGCTATTTCTAAAAAGAAACATGTCACACAGGCACAAGATGTTATAAGTGAAAACATTAAACCTGTAGAATTATATTCAATAAACTGTAGAGTATTCCTACCTTCAGGATCTTTTTTGCCATCTCAGGCCACCTGTGCTTTACGTACATTCCCACACTGATCGGGATGATTAGGGCTGCCAGTGTGATACCTGAGGATGCAAAAAAAGTAGATTATAAAAAGGTTACCTTAGAGGCAGGAACAGCATTCACAGTTACATCCTGATAATACACATTATTGAGAGCACTTGTTTGAAATTCTTTAAGGTGTTTCAGTTCTTTGAAAGCTTTCCTTACCGATACTGTCATACGGGATCTTGATGGTGTCACTGGATATCCATACGCTGGTGTAGATTAAAAGACAGAGAGGCATCATCCCCAAGGCCAGGAGAGAGGAGCAGGCTGTCATACTGAGACTGAGGAGCGAAGGATTTGGACACTGAAGAGTTTCCTGCATTTGTCCCCAGCTGTGCTTATACACACTAACACAATCTGTTTTATTTAAATATTGAATTAACATTGAATAAATGTAAATAAAACTCTAAACCAATAAAAACTTGTAATACATTAATTCTGTTGTTCTCCTGCCAGGTAGCTACACAACAAGAAAGTCTTCCTTAAAATAGCTTAAGAGTGTTCTGGGATCCAAAAAACATGAAAATGTTCGATTTAGTTTACATACACAAGAGAAACAAATAGTTATCATAGAGTAAACATAGTGGTCCTCTAAGAGCAGCACTTGGTGATAGTAGGGAAAAAAAAAGGTTCCTTTTTTAACAGGGAGAAACCACCAGCTGAAAAAGGCTCAGAGAAATCTGCTCTTTAACAGAAAAGGGAAAAGAAAAATAGCAGTGAACCTGCCCAAGGTCTCACCTGAGGTCCATGTCTCCATCCAACCAGTAGCAGATGATGTTGGAGTTTGAGCCACCTGGACAGCAGCCCATGATGATGATGACCACTGCCTGCACAGCCTGGACCCCAAAAGCCAGTGACAAGGCAAAAGCTGTGAAAGGCATAATGCCAAACTGGCAGAGGAAGCCAATGATAATGCCCCATGGCTTCTTAATGTGGCCCCACAGCTTTGCAGCCTCCACCCTGCAGCCCATGGCGAACATGACCATTGCGAGCATGATGGTGAGCACCGTGCTCACCACTACTCCCAGGATGGCATTGAAGTTACTGGGAGGAACAAGGCAGTCTGTGCCCGAGCAGGCTGTGGCAGCATTGTCACAGATAGCTGGCAGCATGGTGGTTGGCTTCAGCGTGGATATTGTTGTTGCAGAAGAAGAATATCAGCAGATACTAAAACTTGCACACACTTTGGGGCTTCTTAGAGTCCTTGAGGTGAGACAAGTCCAGTTTCACCACCTGTCCAGGAAAATGGATGTGACAAAGAGAAGGAGTGAGCTTGGATCACTGCCCTTTATGCCCACAGTTTCAAAGCCAAATAAAATTGGGCTGAAAGATAAAAAAATAACCAATAGTCTATGTTTTATGGGGTCAGCGTTCAAAACACATGCATATAAAAAAGAAAATCACAATGAAATATGAAATACCATTACACCATGGCTCCAGTTTTTACAGCCTTGTGGGTTTTAAAGTTTTAATGAACTCACAATCATCAAGCATCATCATGCAGGGAAAGTTTCAAAGAGGCAGCAGCCACAGAATACATGTCCTTTGCACAATTATATATGGCCCTCTTTGGTCTCTTAATCATTCTTTTAAACATGAGTAACCCAGAGCCCATAAAACAAAATAAAGGTGTACAGTGGTCCTTCGTTTATTGTAGGAGTCATGTTCTAAAAAATAACCTGAGATAGGTAAAATCCGCAAAGTAGTCAGCTTTTAAAAAAAAATCATTATAGATGTTTTAAGCTGTAAAACCCCTCACTACACACTTTATACACTTTTCTCAGACAGGCATGAACATTTTCACACTTTTCTCTCTTGTTTAAACACCCTCAAAGTTCAAACCTTTGTAGAAAAATAAGTCCAGTATTATAAAATGAAACCAAAGACCAAACCCTGTTTCAGGTGCAGAACGTGAATAGAGCGGCTGCCAGAGAATTCAACATCAATGAATCAAGTAGAGGAAGCAAGAAGAATGAGTTAAGTTTGACTTATCTGTTTTGTTTCGCTTAACGCGCCTTATAATCCGGTGTGCCTTATAATCCGGAAAATACGGTAACTTCTACCTTCCTTTAGCATGTCCGGAAGTCCAACCTTATGGGTGGTACCGAAGTTGCTTTTGACAGTTCAAAATGTTTCGTAGCCATTGTTGTGTTTGTTGGGGAGAAAACTTACAAACATACAGCACAGCACTGCAGAGTCACACTGTAGCGATCGAAAATGTATGTAAATTTGACAAGCTGAATGCTTTCTGTTCTGTACAGGAGACTAGGCACGTAGGAAAAAGCTCGTCATTTCATGGTGACATAATCTTTAATTAACACCCCAAAGTCTGCATGATCAACCATTTTGAACATGAGTTAATTTTTAATCTGAAATGCTGTTAATATAAAAACAGCCTCCCTAATTTAAAAAAAATAAACAAATCCACCACGTGAGTGTGTTTAAACCCAGCAGGAGATCCCAGGGCTGTTCCCTGATTAGTGGCTTTATTTTTCATATATTTTATCTTCTTCCTAACTGACGTTATGCAACTTTGCCATTTTCCAGACTGGTTTATGTAATTTATGATTCTTTCACAGGGGTTTCGTTCAAATTAATGAGAACATGTTGTAACAGTCACAATGGTGTGGTTTCTCTTTAAGACAATGCAAGGTAAGGGTTAGTAACTTCATAAGTATGCACCAATGCCCTCCCTTGAGAGCAACGTTCTTGCACGTGAGCGTATGGACCGGACGGACCTTAAGTCTTTCACCTCTTTAACTACTTGCAATGTTGTAGGAACACTGTGTTGTAGGAACACAGGTTGTGCTTCATGTATGATAAGCGGGCCTTGTAAGGTAGATGTAGAGAATGTGCACTAAAGGACAAGCACTGTGGAATTCCCAGTACCAGTGTGGTCGTGAGTTTTTCTGACTGTCCTGTTAAGTGCTTCTACAGCTTTTCTTAACCACTGAGTACAACCTGTGTTGTTTTAGTTTATTAAAGTCTTTATCTCCTTCCTAATTCCCTTTATGCAACTTTGCCATTACCTATCATTTATCATCTATCATTTATTTTTCAGACTAGTTTATGTAATTCATGATTTCTTCACAGGGGTTTCCTTCAAATTAATCAGATCACGTGTTGTTTCATTTTATTAAAGTTTTCATTTTAAGCACTTGCTATGTAGTGTACTGTACATGAGTCATCATGAGCTTAGAAACCTAAAACACATCAACGTGATACCTTTTTTTATCCTCTCTGGATGCCCATATCAGTCCATAATGGTGATACCAATATTTAACTTTCATTTGTGAACTAAATTAAATGTTTTACATATAAACATAATACAGATTCTTGAGGAAGTAAACATTTCCATGCTAAATCTGGTGCATCTCATATTAACACATGAAATGTCTGTCTGTGTGTTTGCTGATTTATCCACCAACTCCCTCTACACAATCAAGAGCTGAGCAACCAAACTTGGCACACAGGTACATTTTAGGCCTCTACAGGTATATCTATATGGTGGATTTACAAATCTGGTTAATGTTGCCTTCACCCTCCACATCTCCTTGAGTTCTTTTCTCAGCTCTTGGTATTTCTCCAGCTTCTTGTGTTCCTTCTTTCTAATGTTGCTGTCATTTAGGATAGCTACATCTATCACTATAGCCATCTTAATCTGCTTATCCACCACTTCTGTGTCCAATTGGTTAGCCGTAATCACTTTGTCTGTTTGTATCTGGAAGTCCAACAGGATCTTGGCTTGGTTATTCTCGACCACCCTACGGGGTATGTCCTATTTTGACCACGGGACTTCTAGGCCATATTTGGCACAGATGTTCCTGTATACTAAGCTGCACATTCGGTTACGCCGCCCCATGTGTGCCCGGCAGGGCATAAATAACATCCAACAAATATGCTTTTTTAGATAACAACAATAACAAAAATCTGTTTATCTTTATCTACTTTTATGGAGCTGTTACACAGTTAATTCATGCTAACAGCTTTATTGGTAACCATATTTTTTTATATAAGAAATGTCACATTTTTCTTTAATGTTATAGCAATCTATTTACATTTTTTCTTGTATTTGTGTAACTTAAACTGATCTGTATACTTTTGGGTTTTCTACATCCTACTTGATTTCTACTTCTTGTCCATTGCATTTATTTAACTGCCAACCCCTCTGCCAAAGCAAGTACAGTTGCACTCAGTTTTTTAAATTGGTGTTTCTTCAGATTATTTGTATGTATCACCACCCACATCTGAGTTATCCTTCTGCGGTAACTGTACCTGAGTGTCACTTCATCAGGCAGGGTCATTTCAATCACACACTTTGAAAAAAACAAAAAAACAACTCCACAGCACCTTTTACATGATTGGATCTCACATAGATTTTTCTTACGCTGTAACTACATCAGTATATTGCATTTTGTTCTTTATTGTCATCACTGTGTTCTTGTTGCTTTTGAAATAACAGTAATATCAAATAAATTATGACTGTCACATTACAAAAAACAACAACAACAACAACAAAAAACCACCCTGTTTTCCACCACTGAAGCACTCATTAAGAGACACTAACAATGTACAGGCAAAGTGGTTCTAAATATTTACATATGAATAAAAGTAAATAACACATAATTCAGCAGTTGGTCCCCACCACGTTCCCACTTGAAGTTAGATACTGACTGTCCCGGGGAAGAAATTTTTGCAACCCCGTTCAGCTAAAATTTTTCCAAATGGTTTAGTGTGGTGCACATACAGCCTGCAGAGTGCAGTGTGTCTTCACAGTAGAGTCTGAATGGTGTGTTCAGTGATGCAGTTGTTATTGCTCATACCAACAACCGAACATCTCTGGTTTTCAGGGCTGCAATATCACAGCTCAGTGCTTTTGTCAGTGCTTTTATCCTTCACATCCCTGTTGTTGCTCTCATCGCCCTCAAAGCCACCATTTTCCCGTGGGCAGTACTTTTGTTCTTCTAGATCAGGATTGTGACCTTCCAAGTATGGAGCATCACTGTTTGCAGACGAACCGCCACCACAATACCTTTTGTAAAGCTGGAAGCCTGGACAGGAAACAAACCATAGATTCAGAACCAGTGAGCAAAGACCTTTGGACAAAACCTTTAAAAATGGAATAAACAGGACTTCAGTGACAAAGCATCTATGCAAGATGCCATAACAAGAAAATTTGAAGCATCCTACGTCTTCTTTTCTGTTCAGTTTCAAAATTAGTAAGCATCTATGATAATCTGTAAACCACTGTTCTCAAATGTTTGGTGCCCAGGACTGAAAGAAAAGTGAAAATTTCAAGGTATTCTGCAGAAGATGGCCTCCATATCATTTTCAACAATGTGAACTCTAACTTCCATCCATCCCCTCACTCCACATTTTCACACATTAAAACCTATGTTTATTCAAGGCTATTCTCACGTCTGTGACATTAAGTAGCCCCATCTTCTCAAACACACAGGCATTGCTAATTTAAGCAAAGTCTTTCCTTCGGATGTGTTCCGATTTGCACTGGGGTATGGCATTAGTGAGATTGTGTTAGGTCCATCTCATCACTGGTAAATGTGCAGGATTACTATTTTTAGGGGGTTTGTTTTAACCCAAACCAAAGTCTTTCTCTCTAAATTAGTTAAAGTACTTGTAATTACCTAAACCCAACACAGAACCTTTTGGTTTGCAAACTAAAGAGAGTAGAATTGAAAGGAAAAGTGAGGGATGAAAAATAACAGCAAATAAAACATCCCACTAAACAAAAAAACTCCTGGGTGACATAAAAACTCATGAAGATGTTGCACTTAAAATTGTTCATAGATGTTAGAGCATCAGTGCATCAGTGCTAAAGACACAGACACACAACGCCCCGCCATTGATGCTGCAGGTCAGCCAGCTGGCTGCTCAGTTGCCTCAGTGACACGCTTGCACCTGGCTGCGTGGCTGCGTTTCATCACAGCTTCGCTCAGTTTCATCTGGGACAGAGACTGCGTTTCCAGACGATATTACATTTGTTGGGCACGATGGCATCTATGATCACTGTAGTGCCACTTAGACTGGTAAAGATGAGAGTGTTTCAATGCTGGACTCTCTCTCACCACCTGTGTGCATCGCGTCACCTCTGGAGGAGGCTGATGGTAACCGCATCGTGCATGCTAGTTCTCTATCCCTGGACAGAGCCCAGGCTACTGCATAAGGGCTCTCAGATGGGAGGGTGTTGTTTTGCAAGGTGGTGTCCACAGATGCTTCCCTAAGGGGGTGGGGAGCGCTGTGCGAGGGTGCATCAGTGAGAGGGATCTGGTCCGCAGCCCTGCGTGATCTTCACATCAACCACTTAGAGCTGTTAGCAGTGTTCTTAGCTCTCAAACATTTCCGTCCAGTCCTGGAGGGCCAGCATGTCTTATACAGGAAGGACAATTCAACAATAGTCTCTTACATAAACAGTCAGGGAGGGACACCCTCCCTTCCCCTATTAAAGCTGTCTCGCTCTCTGCTGTTATGGTGCAGTGTTCATTTCCCCCAAGGGGGTACTCTGGTGAAGGAATGGAGGTTGCACCCTTTGATAGTGGCTCAGATTTGGGATCTGTTTGCCAATGCACAGGTAGATCTTTTTTTGCCTCCAGGGTAAATATTCACTGCCCCCTGTTCTTCTCAATAATCGTTCACAATGCAACCTTGGGCATGGACGCGCTAGCGCACCAATGGCCAGTCATGCTCCTGTATGCATTTCCCCCAGTGGAAATGATATCTCCAATTTTAGAGAGATTGCGTCGGCAGTCTCTCTCACTGATTGTAGTGGCCCCTTGGTGGCCCACAGGGTCTTGGTATTCAGAGATAATCAGCCTGCTAGCAGTGAGTCCTTGGCAACTTAGTCAACTTAGCCTCCGCAGGGACCTCTTCTCTCAGGTGGGAGGAGAAATAATTCATTTGCGCCCGGATCTGTGGCGTCTTCATGCTTACCTGCTGAGAGGTCAAACTTGATTGCTAAGGGCCTGCTACCTAGTGTGATAGTGACAATTCAGAACACTACGGCCTCATCCACTAGAGGCTTGTACTGTTAGAAATGGCGAGCCTTCGAGCAATGATGCCAGGACCGCCACACTGTCCCATTCCAGTGCTCTTTTGTGAATGTTTTGAAATTCCTGCAGGAGCTGCTGGATGAGGTCCTTTCATTTTCAACGATTAAGGTTTATTTAGCAGCTATATCTGCTTGTCATTTTCGCTTTGACGGGGTGACACCAGGTGCACATCCCCTCACCATACCTTTTCTGAAAAGGGTTTGTTGGCTGAGACCTGTGCTTAAGTCCAGTGTCCCTGCTTGGGACTTTTCTTTAGTGCTGGAGGCATATGTAGCCCCTCTTTTGAACCCATTGAGTCTGTGGATATGAAATTTCTCTCATATAAGACTGCATCAGTTCTCACTTTGGCTTCAGCAAAGTAAGTGGGTGACCTACATGCGTTGCAGTGCATCCCTCTTGCACAGTTCTCTCCTGATGGCCATAAGGTCATATTGCGTCCGAATGCTGCCTAATTTCCCTAAGGTCAAGCCTGCATCTTATAACTGAATGGAGTTTGAGTTGCTGAGCTTTTGCTTCCCTCCTTTTGCATCTGAGGAGCAGAGGAGGATGCATTCTCTTTGTCCAGTGTGTGTGCTACGTACCCACATTGAGAGCACTCAGAATGTGTGTTTATGTTACCAGCTGTATGTTTACACAGAGCTCTACCTCTGGCTGGATTGGTGAAGCAGACAAAGGCTGTCCCACTGGATTATAGAAGCAAGCTCACTGGCGTACAGCACCAAAGGTCTTGCTTTGCCCCAGGGAGTGAGAGCTCATTCCATCAGGGAATGGCAGCCCCTTTGGCCCTTTTTAAAGGGGTACCTGTAGCTGATATTTGTGTGGCAGCTAGTTGGGCATCACCGCTGCTGTCATAGGTGTTATGATACTTGATCTCTGACACAGATAAACCACCAGAGAAGCATGAAGCATGCTGCAACTCTATTACTGGTTAAACTTGGGTTAAATATTTAATCCTTATATGGCACAGCACCTGGCTCAATCTGTTGACTCAACACAGCAAAAAAAACATCACAATGGAGGAAAAGAAGGAAAATAAGGAAGCTGCATTCACTGACCAAGAACTAAAAAAAAGTCAAGCGATGCAGGAGAAAATGGCCAATGTATGTGTTGTTTGTTTTAAGGTCTTACATCCCACAAAGACGAGTGCTGACACGAGTTGGAAGATGCTGTAGATGAGGGGGAAGGCAAACATGATTTCCAGCTCCTCTGGGCTGAAGGACAGCTGGACGATAGTGCTGCACAACTGGGCATTCTGGAAACCTGTCTCCAGTGCAATGGTTCGACATCTGAACAAATAAAGGAACAATGATGAACCTCATCAATAAGTCAAATTTTAAATGTAGCTGTGTCAGAAACATTTTGCTGTCACCTCACCTGTACCAGGGTTGACCCACAAAGCGAGCCAGGAAGAACCCAAGGCTCAATCCAATAAAGGGGTAGATGGTGCCAATTATCCACAGGGAGGGAGCAATGGTCCAGGACGACTGGTAGAGGACTCCTCCAA